CTGGACTTTAGAGAATAAGGATATGGCTATTTCCTGGAGGCAGTAAGTACCAGTGTAAACTTAATTCATAGTGAACACACAAAAATACCAGTAGAAAAGATTTGTTAGTTCATTTTGGGCCAGTACTATTTGAAGCTTACGTCAACTAAATAACTAAAGAGAAAAGTTACATACGGGAGCTTTTAGTTTGTATGATACTAATTAAGTTTGAGTTTAGAAATGTTATTGCTCTCCGGATTATAGTCACACCAGTGAAGTAGTGCGTTACATTTTTGTACTGCAGGCAGGTCATAGGGAGGTGGTTGTGGTGGATGCAGGTGTACGAGGCCGGACTCCAGAGACGAGGGTTCCTATCCTGAGTCCTGCATGTGGTTAGGTTGCGGCGACAAACACAATTTGGGTTATGGTTAGGAAAAGATCACGGTTTCATTGTCAGTAGAACAAAGAAGTGTTTTTTTGTGCTTCAAGCCATCGCGGACAGTTTGAAACCAATATCACAATCTTTAACCAACTACTCTGAGTAAATAATAGCCTACTTTAGAAAAAAGACATTATCAGGGCAGCATTATGTTTTTTCTTAGCTGCTGCAGATTAATAGTACACACACGTAATTTCTCAGAGACAATGTTGTCACGGAAGTTATGTTATGGAAATGCTATGAAATACTAAACTGCTGTATTATCCCTTTAATTCTGTCTTTTCGGGCCATGGTAGGTTTTATAAGAGGATAAGTAGAAGTTGTAATGATGAAGTAGAAGTAGCAGGAGTAGTACCAGTAGTTTTAGTGAGCCAGTACATAGTAGGATGCTCTTAGTGATGAAATTAATAACAAGCAGAGGAACTAGTTGTGGTACATATTATATTAATATCAGAGCTGCAATGAGGGGAAATTGGAAAAGATGAGGAATTCATTTTTACATGCACTAAATTGATCATTTAAAATGATAAAAACTATTACTTAGGATAGTGCAAACAATAGTGTTTATAATATGGAAATGGGCACAATTATAGTTTACAGTTTCAAAATAATCTCTGAGCATGATTTTATCCAGCTTGTGAAATTTATAAACCTAATGGGAGCAGGCAGGAGGTATTACCAGACAATTGACTCCCTCTGTCCAGTGTTACTGTATGACCTTATATCTTTAAAATTCTCTGTGTCACTCCGGCAGTTTGCTCTTGGATTCGTGGGTATTTGGTTTGTTTGCCATTTTGTTTTACCTCTGTTTATCCAGGGTAGGCTGACTGAGCACATTTTACTCTTTTTCATCACTGTCCCCCTTCCATACTCTGATAACACACATTCACGCATGAGGACACAAGAGCCTTCCTCTGTCTGCGTTAAAGCTGCAGGAAATCACAGTGATGTGTTGAAAGGATAGGCAACGTCAGGCTCATTTAAAGAGGCTACAATCAATATTTTTGTATTAACAATTGATCGTAAGACTATTTGCATGTGAAAAAGGTAGGGATGAACCCACAGACTCTGAAGCTCCCCTCAGCTCGACAGGGCTTTGAAGCATCTTTTAGCTCATTGTTTTGATTTGGTTCACACCCACTGTTCTCATAGTGTCGTTTTCAACTAGCAGGCAGCTGTGTTAAAATTTAAGCAGCTCTAAAACGGACTGCACACTACTTTCCCAGCACCAAACGGTAGACAGACAAAGTTGGCTAAGCCAGCTGGTAAATATGATGTAGCATTTAACAGCTAGCGAGCCAGATATTTCCCTCAGGAGTTGCTAGAGACCTAAACAGACCTAAAAAAAGAGTTAATATTGGATTTACATTCATCAGTTCAGCAGAAACACCGAATGACAACAAACACATTTGCCATATTGACCTAAAATCACAGGTTTGATGCAGTAATCTCAAATCATGGTGCTTTTCATTCGACTGGTGTAAAAATAGAAAGGTCGAGCAAGGTTACAACAGTAGGCCGACCTAATTTTAGTAGGTCTGAAAAAATATGAGTTGATGTTGATCTGACACTTTAGATTCAGGTTACCTTTCCACCAGTATATCACCTAACAATTAAATGACCAGTCATTTAATCATTCCCGTCCCCAGGTTGTAACATACTGAAAGGCCCTCCCTAGCCTTTAAATCCTGGATGCTGCGTCTATTTCTGCCTCATTGCAGTTTCTGCTCATCCACCCTGGCTAGCCACCATGCAATAAAAAAGACAGGGGAGAAGCTAGCTGGTCAGCAGCACTGCTGCTCTGATTCTAAAACAGGAAAAACATTTCCCTCAGCCTCCCTGCACCTACATTATCTTATTCATCCCTGCTGACAGTTATTCATCTTTGCAAATTAAACAGCACGTGTTAATAGCATTTTGTAACTGATTTACAGAACAGATGTACAGGTTTTTTTAAAGGGTTATTCTTGCAGGAGGCTTGCTGTGTTCAACTTTCAGATTGATTTAAAAAAAAAAAAAAAAAAAAAAAAAAAAAAAAAAAAGTCCAAACCAGTGCAAAACCTTTTTTCTCATTAAGTTACCTTTGTCACTCAATTATTTCCCTGTTGTTTTTGTTTGTCAGTTCTCACAGGGATTGCATAGCTGGCTCCTGTCCATATAAATGGCTCTGCTGATTCAGTTAGATTTAAAGTTCCTCGTCTCTGCCTCTGCTGCCGTTTGCTGTCATCCCCTCTTCCCTCCTCCGGATCAGTGTGCTGCTCTGCAATCAGCTTCTTTTTTAACATCTGAGGAATTTAATTTCAAGCTGAGATATCCTCCTTTTATGTTTTATCACCTCTAAAAAAAAAAAAAAAAAAAAAAAAAAAAAAAAAAAATGCGCTTCTGGAAGGACATATGTCTCTGAATGTTATTGCGGTTATGATCCCTAAAAAGGCATCATAATAACACTGCTGGTAATGCAATTATTTGTTCCTGTGAACCATTTAATTCGAAATATTAGAAATAATTTATTCCAGAATAGATTAATTGGTTTTCCTAATGCTTGAATTTGCACACAAGATGTTGATTGAAACTGGTTTAATTTTTTTCTTCAGATGTTAGGTGTGTGTTGGCCTTTGAACAGATGCGAGTGCTTCAAATATGCCAGCTCTTGTTTGACTATCCACACCTCCATTGAAAATTTTGTCAGCCATCCAAACTGGCTGGTGGTCCGTCTGGATGATATCATTTCCAAAAATATAACCTGGGAGTTCAAGTATCTGGAGTTATTTTAAGTCTTCAGATCCGTTGTACTTAGTAAGAGTTAAATCAAATAAGAAATCAGCATTACACGCCATAACATCTGCCATTTAATGGATGCTTTTATCCAAAGTGCCTTAAAGTGCCATGTGTACGTACTGTACATATTTTAGTGCAAGAGGCCCCAGAGGTAATCAACCCTTTATCCAGGAATCAGAACACAAGAATGCACTTTCAGGTACAAAATGTAAAAATGAGTCAAACTAAACAAAGCTGAAGAAAAGCAACTGTCAAGGTAATAAAAGAAATGTAATCCTCCGGTGTATTCAGGAGGGAATGATTAACTCACACTGTCTGTATCTCTCTGAAGAGATGACTTTAATTCAGACTAAACTGCCTGTGTGCCTCATGGGCCCCAAAGGTGTGGTGAAAGCTTCAGAGTGGCCCCACCCAACCTCCCGAACCACTAAATAATCAGATACCACCGAAAAGAGATCGTGAATAATAAATCCCCTGTGTCCCCTTTTAAGTTTGGTGTGGTTAAACTGTTCTTCGCTCTCCCGTTGCCTTTGGCCTCAGCTGTTAGCATCAAAAGAATTGTCAAGTCCCGTCTCACGAGAGCTGACGAGGTACGTAAGATGCTTAGCCTGAGCTTTTATGAATTCGGACAGTGTCTATGTAACGCTGCTCTCTCGGAAGTGGGAAGTGTGCATTTAGGGCTCAGTATATAATGAATTTGGACGGGACATCTGTACCCTTTGTTTTAGTTTGCCTCTTGACGGTCTCCTGCCTCCCCTCTGCTGTTTTTTTTTTTTTTGCCAATGCGACATTTTGGACAGTGCTTAGTTTGGCAACATTGCACGCCTGCTGAGCGAGCTGTTCAGAGCTGTGTGTGTATTACCCCTGAGATTTCAGACAATCACACTCAAATCCACATTATTGGGCGCACGTATCCACATCTTAACTGAAAATAAACTTTATGATTGGGAATGAGCCTACAGGCTATGATTTTATTAAACTAATGTTATCTACATTGTTCACATAGTGGTTTACAGACCTGAAAATCTCATGAATCTCTGAGCACGAGGAAATGCTTCCCAGCCCGCCTCTCTTAGCTAACATTAAGGTCTCATGACTGTGCTGTTTGTAAAGTAGGAGGCAGAAGCTCTTACAGAGGGATAGTGGGATCGTTTAAATTTGTGCACTCATATAAAAGAGACATTTCTTTCTTGCTTCAGACAGTGTGTGTTTTCCTCTCTGTGAAATACAAACACACAGTCGTACATACTTCTACAACTACTACGCCTTAAACTTGAGATTTAAAACAATGTACGATTGCCTTCATTATTTAATTGTGATGTGACTGAAGTGAATGCATTGTACTGCATTAAGTAAGTACAGTTAATGTTTATCAAGCAATAGATGCATTAATTTATTGAATAAGACCCAAAGCGAAGTGATGCAATTGTTTTATCACTGTTCTCCCCGTCTGGATGTTGTTTCTAACGTAAAAGATAAAGATATAATATAACATCCATATAATCTCTATTGTTTCTGTCTGGTGTCTTAGGTGGTGGGTGGAGAAAAAGCACAGCCCAGTGCTGGATCCCAGAGGGACTGTCAGTGTGGTAAGGACCCTTGAGACGAAGGAGGGTGCATGGAGGGTTCAAGGCCTGTGAAGCCAGGGTCGTCAACCTGCCTCTGGTTGGGGCTGGTCTCCGTGGCTGTAGCCTTCCTTTGTACCGAGGCCCGGACCACTCCGAGCCCTCTGCTCAGTCCCAGCAATGCCACCTGCGAGGGGAACTCCAAGTGTCACGCGGGGATCATCCTGCCCATATGGTATCCGGAGGATCCGTCCATGGGAGACAAGATCGCACGGGTCATTGTGTACTTTGTGGCCCTCATCTACATGTTTCTCGGAGTGTCCATCATCGCTGACCGCTTCATGGCGGCCATTGAGGTTATCACCTCCCAGGAGAGGGAAATTGTCATCAAAAGGCCCAATGGGGAAACAACCACCACCACAATCCGGGTGTGGAATGAAACGGTCTCCAACCTCACCCTCATGGCCTTAGGCTCGTCCGCCCCCGAGATTATGCTTTCTGTAATCGAGGTTTGTGGACACGAGTTCAAATCTGGCGAGCTCGGGCCCTCCACGATCGTTGGCAGCGCAGCCTTCAATATGTTCGTCATCATTGGCCTCTGCGTGTCCGTCATTCCCCAAGGAGAGGTACGCAAGGTCAAACACCTCAGAGTGTTCTTTGTCACTGCAGGCTGGAGCATTTTTGCTTACATCTGGCTCTACATGATCCTGGCTGTGTTTTCTCCAAACGTAGTCCAAGTCTGGGAGGGTCTGCTCACACTGGCCTTCTTCCCCATATGTGTACTCCTTGCCTGGGTGGCGGACAGACGACTGCTCTTCTATAGGTTCATGCACAAGAAGTATCGCACCGACAAACACAGGGGCGTCATCATCGAGACGGAGACTGAACGCTCCAAGGGAATTGAGATGGACGGCAAGATGGTCAACTCTCACTTCATGGATGGAGGTGCGGCCAGCAATCTGATCGGTTTGATCGAGAGCAAAGAGGTAGACGAGTCCCGGCGCGACATGATCCGCATCTTGAAAGATCTGAAGCAGAAACATCCGGAGAAAGAGCTGGATCAGCTGGTGGAGATGGCCAACTACTACGCTCTCTCGCATCAGCAAAAGAGCCGTGCCTTCTACCGCATCCAGGCCACGCGCATGATGACAGGCGCTGGAAATATCCTGAAGAAACACGTGGCAGAACAGGCGAAGAAGAGCGCCAGCGTGCAGGAGGTGCACGTGGAGGAGCCAGAAGAGTACGTGTCTCGGATCGCTTTTGAGCCTGCTGTCTACCAGTGCCTCGAGAACTGTGGTGCCGCCATTCTGACCATCACCAGAAAGGGTGGCGACATCAACAAGACGATCTACGTGGATTATAAGACGGAGGACGGCTCGGCTAACGCTGGGGCCGATTACGAGTTCACAGAGGGTACAGTAGTGTTCAAACCGGGAGAGATGATCAAGGAAATAAGCATTGGCATCATAGACGATGACATCTTTGAAGAGGATGAGCACTTTTTTGTGCGCCTCAGTAATTTGCGTGTCCTGGAGACTGAGGACGAAGTGCTGTCCCCAAACAGTCTCCCGTACCCAAAGGCCATGCTGGGCTTCCCCGCTGTGGCCACCGTGACCATTCTGGACGACGATCATTCGGGCATCTTCACCTTCGAGAGCAGCTCGGTGCACGTCAGCGAGAGCATCGGTATTATGGAAGTGAAAGTGCTGAGGACTTCTGGAGCGAGGGGGACGGTCATTGTGCCTTATCGCACCATGGAGGGACTCGCCAAAGGAGGAGGGGAGGACTTTGAAGACACCTACGGAGAGCTTGAGTTCAAAAACGACGAGACGTGGTAAGACAGCAACTCTGTTTTTCTAATGGTTGTTGGGCAGTTGCTTTTCATTAATCTGTTGTCGGCGATTTATTATTGGCTATTATCCGATTTTTAATCACCCAAGGTTATTGAAAATGAAGTGAATTTAGGAGTCATAAATAAGCAATTTTCTTTGTGTCCTAGTTTTTGTGTCCCATTGATTTGTGTGTTTTGATGTAGAATTGCAGTTTGATGGTGGTAAAACTGTCAAGAAGCGATATGATCGCTAGCTTCAAAGCTGTTCGGCAGTCTGCCAGATACACGTCTCATTCAGCGTTCGCTTTTGATACAAATATGTTGTCTCTTTTGCCTCTTGACATCATTTAATTGAGAACATTCTTTGGTAACCTGTTCGTGTGCTGTTTGCACTCATCACTCTGTGAATTTTAAATGCTTTTTTTCTTTACATGCTTAGGCAGCGTACTCTGTCATCTGAGCGTACACTCTATATCCCCTTGTTTTCCTGTCAAGAGATTTTGCTCTCATCAGAGCGCTTTGGTAGCGATCCTGTGTGTGTCACATGCAATGGGGATTCAACTTTGGGATTCGTCACACAACCGTGGAAACAGGAAGTCCTTAAGTAACCCCCCCCCCCCCCCCCCGCCTCTCTAATCCCTGCCGCTTTTGTTTTGTCGAACTTTGGGGGTTTATGCTCTTTTTCTTTTTCTTTTTCTTTTTTTTTTATTGTTTGTGTTTCATGTCTACTTCAATTGAAACGAAACAGTACGGAGGAACAGAAACAGGATATTAAAAAGGAGGGAGAATTACAACAAAGGTCAAAGGCCAGGCTCGTGGTTCATGTAATAATCAGTACATGGCAGCCTTTTAAGTTAGTAGGTATAACATATAACATTAGTGATAGGACTGAAACTTACAGGGTGGTACGAGCCTCTGCGAGTAGTACTAACGTCTTATGTAAATTGTGTATGTTATGTAGTCTTGTCAGCTGTACCATCTGTGTCCAATGCTGCACTACAAAAAGGCCGGCTTACAACTGAGTGGGCATATTTGGCAGTGTTGCAATAATAGCAACATACTGTACCGTAGCACAAATGGCATCGGGGGGCCATGCATCGTATGATACTCGGGCCTTTCGTCCCGCGCATGTGAGGCAGTGCTCGGGGATACTGGCATGCGTACAGAATTGCGCCTCTTGAGAAATATCGATTTGTTTATTTCACAGCTTGCATCCGTTTGCATCTCACACATCAGTCTGCAGGCACTGAATCAAAGTGACATCCTTCCATGACATCCCCCACCCTCCACCCCACCCCCCACCCCACCCCACCAATCAGGACCCTCTCAGCACGCCGAGGCTGACTGTCATTGTCTGTGCTCCAGGGTGTGGGTTCCTGAGGGCTGAGGCAGCCCAGGAGACCGGCGGCGGGGGAATGAGTGTCGGGGTGATCAGCATGCTCCTGGGGCCTGCTGAGCTCTCAGGGCTTTTGCTTGATTTATGTGAGAGACGTTTTTTGGGCCCGGCCTGAAGGCTGCCGGGGGAGTAGAGGGGAGAGATGTGGAGAATGACTATTATTATGAGACTGCTGTGATGTTGTTGGCATTGTGAGGGAATGCTGGTGTATCGATCTGTTCATTGTGTTGCACATTGTGCTGCGAGTTAGATGTTCTTACATTGCAGCAATTCTCCAATGTGAGAGTGCACAACTTGACATGCTGTGAATTGATAAATATAAGTAGTGATCTGGGAGAACAATCTGACTGTATGGTTACATAATTATTTCTTCAGAAAACTTCAGCATAACAGTAAGGAACTGTGTTAAAGACATTATTGTCAGTTTTTTAATCTTACGTTTACGAGAAATAGAAAACATGAGCCTCTGTTGATAAATACTAGTGATCTGGGAGAAGAATCACTTTATGGCCAAATAATTGTATATATACTGTATATTCCCTCAACATACATTACAAAGAAGTGAAAATATTTGTCCAGAGGTAAGAAAATGCACCTACCGATGGCTCTAAAGCTTGCTAACTATCACTACTTCTTTCCAGGAAACCAGCGTAGACTGGGGAAGAGAAAGTCTCGTACATTACCTGTCAAATGTTGAATTGAAGATAATAGTGTTAATTAATCAAGCAAGCAAAGCTTTATTTATATAGCACATTTCATTCCAGGTGGAAGCACAATGTGCTGCACAAACTTATCACGAAAGTTGCAACCACAAAACCGTATGTGGGTAATGTAAAGAATAAAACATTAGACACAAATTAAAACAAACAAATAAATTATACGTATGAATTAAAAGCCATTAACAAAATGAAATAATTAAGACCAACAATGAATCAGTAAAAATAAGATATCTAAATGAAAACTATTAAAATGTAGGAATAAAATCTGATTTAATAAAATAATAATAAAAATTAATTAGAAACTAAGAGCTGGATTTTGGAACTTTAGAGAGAGCCAGACGAGCTGTTTCCTCCTGTTTCAAGCCCTTATTTAAGCTACGCTAACCATCTCCTGGCTGCAGGTTCATATTTAACAGACAGACGTGAGAATGATATCAATCCTCGCTGTAACAAAGCAAATGTAGAAAAGAGTATTTCCCAAAATGTCAAACTACTTCTCAGATTGCGGAGTAGCCGTACGTGGCCGAACCTCCTCCAGTTCTCTGTAGTTTAGAAACATATCTTTATTAGGAGCTTTATTGGAGATTTTTTTTTTACACTGTGTGTAGATGTATTGTCAGGTGGAGAGACTGGGGTGAAGGTCCGGGCCAAAGGTCATGATGTTTGACCTTTTAATCCTTTTAGCAAGAACTAAAATCAGATTGTTGCATTTAAATCAGTGGTAAATACGAACTCTTGACATTTCCAGTGACAGTGAAGAGAAGAGGCGGCGTGTTTACCAAGAAAAAAATTAATATGATAATTAAATTAAAAGTGTCAAAATCACCATCTGTGGAATAAATGTCAAAGAAATAGTCATGCTGATATATGTGCAGCCGTTTAGTAGAGTTGTATAGAGTTTTATTGTCCACACTGACGGACGTGGTACAAAATAAACAAGATATGACTTTTACTGCAACTTACAGTCAGTGTTGATTAATGTACTCACTGTAGAGCAATGATAAATGTTGTATGATCACTCAAAACATACTGGACATTATTCAATTAAGCAGTTAAAACAATGAAGATTGTTCATATGCATGAACACGCTCGCATCTTATTATGAAAATCTCCCCTTCCTCCTTCAGAGACTTGTGGATCTTCTGTAGAAACGGCAGACCGCTGTTACTGAACTCCCAACAAATCTCCAGAAATTTCCATAATTACACTCGGATAGTGATGAATTAGATTCTGTGTGCATCCATAAAAAAGACAAAGAGGAGCAGCGGAAGTGACAGCTTCATCCACAAGCATACTAGAAGATTCATGAGAACATTTCCATACACAAAACAAAAGGGGATGAATGTGTAGAATATTCACTAAAGGCATAATTACAATGATGTTTCTTCCGCTGCCTTGAAAGCTCTCCTCGGGGTCGTCTTAACGCTCACAACATGAAAAAATACAGAATTTATTTGCCTCCATTGACTTTACATTCATATTCCATCAGTGGCGTGTGTGGAAATTGACAATGGAAATGTTTATTTCCATTTTGCAAATTACACAATTCCCTCCTTGGCATGTGGTTAAAACAGCTAATTGAGTGTTAATTGTGACGACTCAATGAGGGCAGAGTGCGCTCCCTGTCTAAAGGGCAAGTTTGTTTTTTTTTGATGTCCTTTAGGACAATTAGACAACATAATGCTTCAGCTCTCATGCTCTTCCTTTCTCTCTCACCCTGTTTTACGAGGCGCTGACTCTCAATCTCTTTTGACACACTTTAGGCCCATTGTTATCAACCAGAGTGGAAATTTATTACAGTCCTAATCTGGAGCTCTGGAATACATCACTCCAATTCTTAGCCAGACAATAGTTCTCAGCACGAAGGATGAAGTTAATAGTTTTTTTTTTGTGGTGATGCTTCTGCTCTGAGCCAACAGATATGAACCTCATCCAGGCACCACAAGCTTCTTAAATGCACATTTTATGGCGGCCGAACCTATAAAGTGACTCCTAAAGCTAAAGAGTGCTTCCTAATAGGCTGGGCTGGGCTAAACACAGGGACACAGTTTGGGGTGGTATATGTCAGTGGTTCCCAACCTTTTTGCCAATGTCTAATTACACTTACATGTGTTCATTTAGCAGATGTTTTTTTCCAAACTTACAAATGAGGTTCAGTCCAAGCGACATATGACCTGCGATCGCAGCTCATGGCGTCAGTGTAGACATGAGAGCAGAGATGCAACTAACATCTGATATCGATCTATTCCACTTAATGTGCTTATTATTTTTGTGGCTAATCAATTAAACCTTTCAGCTACAACATAAAAAACATTGAAAAATGCTCCTAATAAATTCTCAGAGCCCAAGGTGATATCTTCAAATAGCTTATTTCATCAGAGCACCAGTCCAGAACCCAAAGATATTTAATCTACAACACCAGTAGCATATTCTTACATTTGAGAAGCTGGAAATGGGAAACGTTTGAGTATTTTTGTTGCAAAATGACTAAAATGATTAATCAGTTTCCACAATTGTTGAATTTTCCTTCTCATATTATAAAAAGTTTCCAATATGTCACTAGAAATAAGCAAAAACAAAAATTGAGAAATGTAGTGAGAAAACTGTGCTGCAATGATTTGTCGATCAGTTGACAATCAATTTATTATTTTGAGTAATTTTTGATGGAGAAAATATGATGAGTGAATAATTGTCTTGGTTCAGCTTCTCCATTGTGATTATCGGGAATAGTGGTTTCTTTAATTTTCTACAAATGTACACGGAGGTGGACAAAGCCAGACTCTGTGGAGCTCTGATGGACGTTTTAGAGATGAAACGAATCAGGGAAAATGATCTGCAGATTAATCAGCAGTGACGATATTCTTTAGATGCAGCCCAGAGCAGTACTT